TTTATTTGAGGCTGTCTCTGTCTCCAAGCTCTGTGTGCTTGACATGCTGCGCTCCTGAGAGGCTGAGTTCTGTTGTTTGGCCTGTTGAGAGACTTCCAGAGATCGTCTGGGTGGAGAGAAATGCCGCCAGAAAAGCAGCCCCTAAGGCGCCCTTCAGTTTCGCAGAATTGGTTTCAGCGGAGGAGCTGCACTGTTGCTGTCAGTCATGTATGCCTGTGGTGGGCAGAGCCTGGCCGGGCTGCGAAGCATGTTCAGCATCTGCCTGTGTCCCAGCACTCTCGTGGGTGTGGGCAACACCACGGGCGCACCTTTCCCTCTGTCACTGCCACCCTTGGGCCTCAGAGCCCAGAGCCATCTTCTTGGCTTGTCACATGTGAGCATCTCTGTGTGTGAAGTGTTGGCTTTGAGACTAAATGTGGACCTCCTCGTTGGCCTCCTGGAGGTTCATCCTGCAGCTGAACAGCATCCCACGAATTTTCCTCATGAGGGAAGTGGAAGCATTTCTTCAAGTCCTCCTTACAACAAAGATATTATCTGACTTTTTTTTTTTTTTTTTTCTGGTACAGGGAATCGAATTTAGGACCTTGCACTTGCCAGGCAGTTGCTGTGCTGCTGAGCTATCTCCCTGGCCCAGTCTCTTACTTTCAGATAGATAAATTTTGTTTCAAGGAGACATTCTTTTGAACAATAAGTTGCAAACAGCCTTATCTGAGCCCAGAATAAAGCTCAGACAGCATTTTAACTCAAAATGCAACTCCCTGTGATCACTGGGCTTTGGAATAGTCCCGGGATGCATGCATATTCTTTCACTTGGTCTTCTCAGTTATGTGTACCATTGTGTAGCAAAGTGCTTCTGCCTTGCTTCGATAATCTCAATAAGCAACACCAGTATACAAGCATGCAGTCTTCATTTTCAGCTATTTGAGAAACTGTGCACCTTGTTTCTTTCTCACTCTAGTCTTGACTGTTTTGTTTTGTTTTTGGTGCCATTCAATCAAGAGTTAGGAAACAATGTAGCAGACCAGGCAGAACAGCACATTAATTACAATTTCTTCCTTTTCAGCCGACCTTGGTCTGTTCCTCAGTATGTTTACAGTGGAAGCTAGGACATAGGGAAGAACTTTCCAGTCCACTATCTTCCCTGCAAGTCAGGATTCTTTCCCTGTTAGTAGTCTGTGGAAAATCAGATTAAATTTTCCATTTGAGTGGGAAAGTTACAGTGAAAATAGCTCACTTCTCCAGAAGCCTCAACAGGGGGACACTGCACGGGACACAGAAGCCTTTGATGGCAGCCGGACAAGCTCCGCCCTAGCAGTTATCTTGCCAAGTTGTGGCGTAGTCACTGCTTCTGCAGGTCTGTTTGGGAAAGAGTAGGGTGTTTGTTCACACCCCCATTTCCTGCGTGTTCACCCTCAGCAGGGAGTGGGTCTGGTGCCGACGCTCACTCACACACGCACACGGGGGACCCCAGGGTCCATGGGTGCTCCAGGCCTTATGCAGAGGAGTATTTCAGTATAACCTGTGTCCATCCTGCATGGGCCTTAAATCCTGCATGAAGTATTTATGCTAACACAATGTTAATGCTGCCTGAATCACTGTTACGCTGTATTGTTTAGAGGGTGACGCCAAGAAAAGAACCTGTACGTGCTCGGTACACATGCAGGACGCGTGTTTTGTTGCGTTTTGTTTTGTTTTGCCGTTTTGCAGATTAAACTCAAGGAGCATCCCTGAGCCCCGCTTTGTTTTGTTTTGGTTTTAATTTTATTTATTTCATTTTGCTATTTTGAAACAGCGCCTTGTTGAGTATCCCAGACTGGCTTCAAACTCTGAGTGACCCCTTTTCCTCAGCCTTCCAGGGAACGGGGCTGCAGGCGTCCCTTGGTGCTTTTTATTTCTTATTTTGAGGCAGGGTCTCACGGAGCAGCCCATGCTCAACTTAAACTTGTGATCCTTCTGCCTCAGCCTTCCCGAGTGGCTAGGATTACAGGCATGCACCACCACACTCAGCACATGCAGCACGTATATATATATATGAATTTTTTTAGATTGCCTTAATGTATGGGTGGAGGACCAACTATGTTAGTGTCCCACGCATTGGTGGTAATTGGTCAGAGTATCCAACTTGGCTTCTAAAGCCCTACAGATGTCAGTGTTGGGCAGGCATGCACATGATTCAGTCATGGCTAGTTGAGAGAATGTAGGTCATTGAACTCAAGGAGCCCTAAGCCACATTCCCAGACCAGTGCTGAATTGCCCAGGGTTGGTTGGCCTCAATCTTGTGATCCTAGCCATCTGGGAGGCTGAGGCAAGAAGACCTCAAGATCAGACCAAGCCTTGGTAACTCAGTAACTCAATGAGGCCCTTTCTAAAAAAAAAAAAATTTAAAGGTGGGGGTGTGACTCAGTTCAAAGCCCCGGGGTTCAGTCCTCAGAGCCACAAAAATAAATAATGTAAATAAAATGCTGGGCATGGTGGCGCAGGCCTGTAACCCAGTGTTTGGAATGCTGAGGTGGGAGGATCGCCGCGAGCTTGAGGTCAGCCTAAGCTACCTAGCGAGACCCTATCTCAAAAAACAAAGAGCTGTTTAGGCTGCTCTGTTGGGCTGGGGCGTGTGGCTGGATGGTAGCACACTGGCCTGTCCTGCATAATGCCCTAGGTGTGACCCCGGCACCACCAGGTAAAAAGATGAAAAGCTGCTTTCTACATTTTGACAGTGCTCGCGGGTCTGTCCAGGCCGTAGTGTTTGAGCCCCTAGAAACAGCTGCAGCGTACTGTGTGATGTCAAGAAGTAGATCGTTTGTCCTTGGTTGTGTGTGAGGCAGAGTAGGGCTGGATCTGACGCCCTGCCTCAGCCCCTGGGGGACACTGGAGTGGGCCACCACTCATCCGTGCTGCCTCTGGTCGGCACACGGTAAAGGATCGAAAGACGATGAGCTTGTAAAGAGAAATCTGCTCTGTGGATTGCAGGGACCCTTGGGGTTTAGACTTCTAGGAGATTTCCCAATCCCAAGTCAGTTGTGCAGAGAGCTGATGGGACTGCAGAGCTCCTTAGAAGAAGCCCTGGGCTTGGGCCACCCTGGTATGCAGCCAGAGCAGCCCGCTGACTCGCTTCTCACACAGGGCTCCTGGGGCTCCTGCCGCGCAGCCTCCAGCCGTTTCACCCCGGACTTTGTGACGAAGATGGTGCTCACAGTCCTGAAGGGTGATTGGCATTTCCTAAAGTGCCCAGAACAGTTTAAAGGAACTCAGGCACAGTGTTTATGTGGCTTTCACTTAACTTCTCTTTCCTACTTGGAAAAATCACGCCTTTCTTTTAGCCCTGCTTTGTGGAAGCTAAATCTGAGACCTGGCTGGCTGCTTGTGTAGTATTTTGGGAAGGTGATGCCACCTAGCTGCTCAGCAGCCACGTGGTTACTGATCCTAATTCAGAGCACTTGGGACATGTGAACCACCATAGTCATTCAGCCCTGGCACTGAGCCAGAAAGCTGCTTTTTTACGCTTACACACAGCAAAAACCGTGTGTATACACATACATTATTTCCCTGACCACACTGTGTACTCATAGAAGAGAAGGCTGTGGTTATTCATTCAACAGATTTGTAGTGTTTTCTGCTCATGGGGAGCTGGGTGTGGTGGCATGAACCTGTGATCCCAGCACTCGGAGAGGTTGAGGCAGGAGGATCGCACGTTCCAGCCCCAGCCTGAACAAGGGGCCGCACAGTTTCTAGGTGCCCTCTGGGGTCTGTTGTATCACGAGCACACGTAGCTTTTTATGTTCAGGGTGATGTAAACGGTGGAACAAGGTGAGTGAGCATTTGCTTTGTAAGAAGGTGTAGCCCTTCCCAGAAGAGCTGCTGAAGGCGGGCGTTCATGCGTCCCCAACCCCTAAAGGCCAGGACCTTCTGCATCTTCTCACGCAGGGGGCTGTGTCTGAGCCTCCCAGCAGGCTGAGAGCCCCAGTTTAGCGCTTTCATTATGTCAGTAAGGTGACCATGTAAGGCACGAGGCATTTGTTTGCCCTGTGATACTTACGCCAAGAATTAACTGGTGGGCCCTCTGCTCACAGGGAGAGGCTGCCGGGACAGAGACGTGTGGGAGAAAGGACCTTGCTGGTCCACACCCGTCTTCCTTCCTCACTACCTCTGGCTCCCAGCTTAAGGTATTTTTCAGGGCTGTGGAGATGGCTCGATGGCACAGCGCCTGCCTGGTATTGTTCTAGGTGATGGAAAAGAAAGGAGAAAAGGATGAGTGGGGGAAATTGTAAACAAAGCAAAGCCACAAATCTCTTACCCCATGTAAATGCTGTCAAACTAAAGGGTAAAGCAGTTTGAAAATATTTTCCTAGTATATATCACTGGTCATAAAACCAGTTCACATTACGGTGACTTCTGTTTAAGAGTTCTGTTTAAGGGCTTGCAAATAGGAAGGGAGGAGGTCATATTATCCCTATTTGTGGACAATAGAATTTTATGTATGGAAAAACCTAAAGCCAGGGCGGGCTGAATGGGCACTTACCCAGCTGACCTTGGCAGTTCAAGGCTGGCTTTGGCAGCACAGCAAGACTCCATCTCAAAACAAAAACAGATGAAAGGAAAGCCAGAAGAGTCGGAATTGATGAATTCACAGATTCCCAGGTGTAGCTGCAGAGCTGTAGGTGCCACTGAGGGGTGCTGGCAGTGTCCCCTCTTGGGAGCTTGAGGGGTGTCCTGCGTGCTCTCCAGGGAGTCTGCACTGTACCATGGGGAGCGCGGTGGCAGCCTGACCCTAACAAGTACCAGGGCACACGGGGGCCTTTTTCTCCTGGAGACGTGGGAACCAGCCCTGCGTCCCTGCAGTAGAGTTTGTGGCCGTAGTCCGTGAGGGAGGGTGGGGAAGCCTTTCTAGAGCTTCAGGAAGCCCCGGGCCCTCTGAACACTGTGCCTCCCCTCCCGGGACACCGGCCAGCTACTGGGCGTGGGAGCAGGCTGTGACCAGCTGGAGGCGGAGGCCTGGAGCCTGCCCGCTGTCTGTTCTGCTTGCCTGTGCCCCGGCTCCAGATGGCCTTCTTGGAGCGAGCGCGCCCCAGCACCATCCCCGAGAATGAGGAGCCCCCTTGTCCCACCCGGGATGGTGTCTGCCAGGCTGACGGAGACGACAGAGCCGTGTCCAGACTTCAGCGCAGGCGCAGTGACGTAAAGGTCTACAAGGAGTTTTGTGACTTCTACGCAAAGTTGTGAGTCTCCCTGATTTCTCAGCCAGTGAGGGTTTATTCCAGTTCCAGGGGGCTTTTCCAGGGTCTGAGACACAGGTCCCCGTGGAGGACAGAGACTGGGAAGAGGGAGAGCCCTCGTACTGGTGGCCCCGGCCAGTGCCCCGCCATGACATTGTTAGGAGGAAGCTGAGGCTGTGGGATCCGTAATAGGAAAACCGACTCTAACACTTTCAAGATAGAGGTTTGGATGAAACGCTGAGGTTTTAATTTATAAAGATAAACATTTTTGCTGGGGAATTACGTGACCAGTTTTTTATTGCTCAGTAAACTCTTGGATCAGCCTTGGATCTTGCACACAGCTGCCCTGTAGGAGGAGAAAGTTGGTTCCCGTGGTAACAGTGTGGCAACCCAGGACCAGGTGTGTGGGTGCAGGGGCAGATCAGGAAGTCAGGCTCCCATAACTGCCCCTTCCCACCTGTATGTGTTCTTGCCATCGAAACTTCTTAGAGAAAATGTTTTTTATGAAAAATTAGCCAGTTAATTATAACTAACTAATCTAATGATGTCCACAGCTGTCATTGAGAACTTTGAAAAAGTACTTCCATCATAGGTAGCATTAAATAAAAGTCAGCCGTAGAAGTATGCACAGTTCCAGGCTAGGACAGGAGAGGAAAGGGCACCGGGAGGGCTCAGTCGGATGGCAAGGTGGCTTCTGGTTCCCTTTCCCGTGCTATAGTTAAATACGTCTTAAAGAATACGTGTGTGCCGGGCGTGGTGGCGCATGCCTGTAGTCTCAGCACTTGGGAGGTTGAGGCTGGAGGATCGTTGAGAGTTCAAGACCAGCCTGGGCTACAAAGTGAGCTCAAGGCCAGCCTAAACTGCATAGCGAGACCCTGTCTCAAAAAGACAAAACAAGAAAGTAGGTGTGCATTATCTCCAGAGCAGGCTGCTGCTCCTGTGTGAGAGAAATGCTTCTGTGCGTGTCTCTGCGAAGTGTCTCTCCTGCTACTTCACCTGAGTGCTGGAACTTGAATGCAGCTGTGCAGAGAGCAGGAGTAAAGCACTTGCTGGTACCAGCATTTGGATCTGAGACCTCCTCACCCGCTTCCTAGAGAGCTTTTATTTACGAGCAGAAGGAACAGTAAACTCATTAAATGTTACTAAGATTAGTAAGTGGAAATTTTAATGTTCTACGAAAAATTGTTTTCCAAGGTGAGCGCATCTCAGAGGGAAGAATGGCATTGTTTCAGTTTGCCAATCTTACTGATGCCTGTGTTGATGAACGACACTTTGCCATGTGTGTGTCTGTCTTCCCTTTCGCAGTGTGCTGTGTGGTTGGAGGTAGAAGATGTCCCCGTGGGTGGTGGTGGCAGAGAGCACCGAGTGGCCCTGCAAGGCCGTGGCAACCCGCACACTGCGGCACGCGGGTGCAGGTGGAAGTGAGTCGGGACGGGCCACAGCATGCTCTTCCAGCTTTTCTGGCGCTCCATTAAGACCACTGAGATGTGAATCTTTTGAGAGGACTGGGAATATTAGCGCCATATATTTTCGTAGCGTCGTCTGGTTTCCAAAGTTGTGTTTTATGCTTTTTAAAATTTCATCCTCAAAGCAGTTGTGAGATTACGGAGCAGATGGGAGGCTCAGGAATCCATGAGTTTGGGTCAGGAGAAAGGAAGAGCACACAGCTCTCTGGGCTCTGCTACATGACCGCAGTTCGTCTTTGTCCAAGGAAGGGCCACCTACTCTCCCTTCCCACAGTAATTCGGAAAGAGCAAAGTGGACACTTTGTTCTTCTGTGAGCTTAGGCCAGGTTTGGCCTCCGTGAGGCTGGCTTCTGCTTTCCTTCCTTTCTTGGTAGCATTTTCATTCTGTATCAAGCCTATTAAGTGAAGGTGAGTTTGATTGGTGTGAGATTATGAACCTGGGATCTCTGCGTGGAGTTCCTACAGCAAGCCTATGGAATGGGGTTGGTATCTTTCAGCCTTCGAGGGAAGAAGGCAGGCGTCATGCACTTGCTCAGGAGATAGCAGGACATGGAAATTGGTGGAGCAAGGCTGGTAGTTACCCTGTCTGTAAATGGAGACTCACCGGCCCTTCTGCCTTGGGAGTCGCAGTGAGGACACGGGAGGGTGTGGAGGTGACATTCCCTGTGGATCCAGGAAGTATCTCGAAGGCCAGCGCTATGCTGGGACCTGGGATGCCGGTGAAGCTTGCGCTAGGAGAGAGCACGGCACCGTCCCATCGCTAGGGCTTTTGGAAACTGTCCTCACCCAGCCCTGTGCCCGCCACAACCGTGCTGCCCGTTCTTCCAGACCACACAGATTGCAGGGGGTCGGGGTCACTTGCTGAGCCCCTCTGTGTCCTGAGGTGCAGCAGAATCGCTGATGAGCAAGTTGCCATGGCCACTGGTCTTGGTGGTGACCACCTCCTGCCTGGCTTTACTCTCCCAGCCTACACAGCATGTTGTGTCTCTGCCGCGTCCTCCCCACGCTGGGATCAGTGGCGGGGTCTGCGGTGATGGACGCCTCATTTTACAAGCAGGGCCCTGGATTCTGCTCCGGGGCCTCCATGAACTCAGTGGCTCTGTGATGTTGGGTGGGAGCCTGCTCGCTGACTGTAAAATGGGCTTCAGAAGGTGCAGTCTCAGGCTTTGAGAGACCGTGTGACAGCATCATGTCTCGTCAGTGAGCTGTCAGGACAGGGCGTCCTGGAGTGGGTTAGTAGCTGGGTAATTGCTTTCAGCAGACCCAGTTCAAGGGATGCTCTGTGTTTAGGCTGGAAGCCAGCCTTCCGTTGCCGTACGGTTTAGCTTTTTTCTCAAAGAGGAAAAAAACTGGCTTTGAAATGTTGTCTTGTAGGTACTTTAACTAAACTACCTAACCAGCGCACTGTAAACCTGAGTTCCTTAGGAGTGTCTTCTCCTCCTCTGCCTCCTTTTCCTCCTTCCTTCTTCCTTCGTCCTCCTCCTGCTTCAGCCTCATAAGTGGCTGGGACTGCAGGCGCATCCCACTGTGTTGGGCTGAGAGCAGCTGTGCTTTCGTCTCTGTCCCTAGTGCCTGACACAGTAAGCACCAACTCCTAGCATGTGTAACAAGCATGTCAGTTCAGAGACAGGAGCAGTCAAAGCAGGAGGCTCTTTCCAGACCTAAGATGCTCAGGCAACAAGATGGGCAGTTGGAGGCTTCGGGCTTTCTAGATCCAGTATGAGTTTGGGACCACACAGACGTACTCCTTGGGGCTTGTGTGACTGGGCTGACCACCTCTAACCTGCTGTCCTTTTGTGTCGCAGCAACATGGCCAATGCCTTGGCCAGCGCTACCTGTGAACGCTGCAGGGGGGGCTTCGCGCCCGCTGAGAAGATCGTGAACAGCAATGGCGAACTGTACCATGAGCCCTGCTTCGTGTGCGCCCAGTGCTTCCAGCCCTTCCCCGAGGGGCTCTTCTACGAGGTGGGTCAGCCATGGGCTGGGCCCCTTCCTCCTCACGCCTCCTGCCCACCGCAAGTCCGTCTTGGGTGGGGCTCCAGTGGGGCCAGGGTGTGGAGGAGCGGAGGAGGCCCCGGCATGGCCATGCCAGGAGGGCTTCGCTTCTGGCTGCAGACCTGGTGCTGGGGGTCAGAGCAAGGCCCAGCTGCAGGCGGTAATGAAAGAGGTGATGCTGCTATGACTCAGGATCTTTAATGGACGGCATCCCCGTGATTAGGGGGCCACAGACCCTGAGGGTCACACCAGCAGTCCACACAGACATGGGTCAAGGAGACAGTGACCACGATTATCCCTCACAGGTGAGACTGACCCAGGAGTCGCTGTGACTGAGGGGTGGTCACAGGTGCAGAGCTGCACAGTTCACGTGGGGCCACTCGGGCCATCTGGTTGACCCTCGGGAGCACCTGCACAAGGCAGAGGTGGGCCTGGACCCCGCTGAGCCTGGGAAGGCGTGGAGCTGGAAGTGTCCCCTGGATGCGCCCTCCTGTCCCTTCTGTGCGAACACCTAGCAGATGGCCAGTGTCTGCACAGAACTCAGGGAGTACTGGTCTCCACCCTCTGCTCCCTCACTGCTCCCTGACCTTTCTCCTCTGAGTCCTTGTGGCCAGAGGATGGAACAGCCTCAGTACACTGGAGTGGGATTGAAAGTTCCGTTTGGTCACCCCAGGGCTTCAGCTCAGAGGCGCAGTCAGTTGCATCACTGTAATAGTGAAGAAGCCAGGGAGCACAAAGAAGAGCTCCAGGGAACAGCAGGTGCTAGCCCAGCCCTGCGCACGTACAGGGTGGGCACGTCACTGCTGTCCCTGCCTCTGCCTCAGCGGCAGCCACACGCAGAGCAGCTGACTCACCCTGTCCTGCAGACTCACCCTGTCCTCCAGCCACCCTTTCTCCCTTGGGCTTGACTATAAATACTGCCCCAGGTCATTCCAAAAGACTGGGCTACTCTGGGTATTGCCCAGCTTGAATTCTCAGGGCCTGAGGGAAGGTTGCTGTTAAGCTACCGTGTTTGTGATTAATGTACTTTTCTAGACCACAGACTCATCAGCCTGCTTTTGAGCAGCAGTCCCCAACCATGTTGGCACCGGGGGTCAGTTTCAGTGAAAGACCCTTTCCCCATGGGTTGGGGGTGGGGCTTGGAGATGATTCAAACACATTACTGTTCCCTTTATTTCTGTTACTACACTATAGTATGTAATGAAATAATTATACAACCCACCATAGTGTAGGATCAGTGGGATCCCTGAGCTTGTCTTTCTGCTCCTGGATGACCCTATCTGGATGTGATAGGAGACAGTGACGCCCAAAATGTGTCTCTGACGTCCAGTCTACTCAGTAATCTCACTTTGGTTGCTACCACTGCAGAAAACCCCGCTTCACAAGATTAGGAGACATAATGTCTACAGCCAGCTGCACCTGTATGAAACTGAAGGTCAGCGGCTCACTATAACGGCACTAGGGCGGCTGAACTGTCACATACCACTCAGTGATAGGCGTCTGCAAGCAACTGATTTACTGTGGTCTGTGCCATCAGCTGCTCTGCTAATGCTCATCGGTGCTTGCAGTGGCTCCCCAGGGCTAGCGTCACTGTCTCAGCTCCAGATCACTGGACACTGGCTTCTCGTAGCGGGGAGCAACGCAGATCCCTCCCTTGTGGAGTTCACAGCGTGGTCCCTGCTTCTCTGAGAATGTAGTGCCCTGTTGACCTGACTGGAGGCAGAGCTCAGCTGGAACCTGAGCGACAGGGAGTGGCAGCCAGTACTGGTGAAGCTTCACTCCGTGTCTCCAGTGGGCAGCCTGGTGCCTGACAGGCCGGGGCCTGTCCCAGTCCTTGGCCCAGCGGTTGGGCGCCCCTGTCATAGACAAGAGAACTTTCCTTTTGATTGTATGGCCCTAGAGAAAGGCTCTCCAGGGTCTCCAGAAACAACTTGTCTGTTCAGTTGTGTCTGAAAGTGGGAGCACCACTTCCCTGGTTCGTTCTCCGTGTGAAACATGGTGGCCCTGATCCAGTCTTCATCCTAGGGCTGAGTGTGGCTTGGTGGGGAGTGCTTGCCTAGCACGCATGAGGCCCTAGTTCCAGCTCCAGCAACTCAGAGTTGTCCCCCGGTTTGCCATTGAGGTGGGCTTCCCCGGAACATCAGGCCCTGTACGTGCGTTTGGGACAGTTGCTCACTTTACTGTGAGCCTGAAGTAACTGCCCAGTGAAGCCCCACGTGACCAGCCGCTGCGCGCTGTGCCTGGTGTGCTGTGAACTGCTGCTCTTCACTGGCTGCCGCAGAGCCCTGCAGGCTGGTGTTGTGTTTCAGTCACATGGCCCAGTCCTCTGGCGACACTCCACAGGCCGTGTGCTCTGAGGTGGCTCTCAGATAGTTCGTAATCTGGACAGAGGACTTTCTCTTGTGTGTAGCCATCACCACTCCTTCATTCAGTCATTGGGTTTTTTTAATTTTCTTTTTTGAGACAGGGTCTCACTCTTGAACTTGCTGTCCTGCCTTAGGTGCCCACGTGCTGGAATTCATCTGCTGGGTACTCACAGACACCTGCAGGGGTGGCGTGTTGTGAAGACCACACTGTGCCCTGGTGCCAGGAGTGGGTACAGCTTGCAGAGCCATTTCAGTACCATGTCGAGGTGCTCAGCGTTTCCAGCCACGGCCCGTCACGGAGAGACTAAGTGGTGCCTGGCCTGAGACTGCTGACCTGCACATGTGGGATCATAGTGACACGGGAAGAGGGTCTGTCCAGTGGGCAGGGCAAACAACCTGCAGAGTGACCGCTCGGTGGCGGCCTCAGGAAGCTGGCCACCTTGGCAAGGTGCCCATTTAGCTGTGGTGGCTCTCAGGTCTGGCTTTGGGGCCCCACTGTCTCCCGTGGGGGAGGACCTTCCTACCTTCCTTCTTCCCAAAGGGAGAGAGAACAGCTGTTCCGAGGAGTGTCAGGTCTGTATGGACTGAGCCTAGAGCCAGGGTCCTCGCCTGTGCTGCCACAGCCCGTCCCTGTGTGGGCTTCCCGTCACAGGGCGAGTAAAGGAGAGGCCCGTCTCTAGTGAGTGCTTTAGCGGCAAGACTGGCAAAGTGCGTGCAGCGCTGCGCTCATCCTGCCGACCTGAGGAGGTGGGCATGGCAGTGGGCACTTCCTGCACCCCCACCGCAGCAGCTCGTGGCAGACGGTGGGAATCATGTTCGCACTTGGGTCGGAATAAGATCGTCAGCTGTGGGGCCGGCCCCAGCCTGACTGCCAGGACTGATGGTGTGGGGGTTGTTTTCTGGCTTCACAGGATAGAGGGACTCTGCTTCAGAACCCGCTTCGATTTGCCTCACAGTGTATTTGTGTCCACTAAAGGAGCCCACACTCCTGCTGCGATGGCTTTCTCTGAGACACCTGCCACAGGGCCTCTGTGGGGCGTCTCCAGGGAGCATCCTCCGTGCTTGGCTTTGGAGACCGTGCTAGACATTCTGCATGCAGGGACACCGTCAGTTTGGGGGCTGTGGGGCTTTGCCCTTTCCATCCCGATTTCAGGAGAACTCACCCCTTGTAAGGAGGAACCCTAGGAGTAAAGCCGCACAGGTGGGAGGGGAGCGGGCCACATGGGGACCACAGGCAGTCCGGTCATGCTCACTCTGCCCGCCTCCTGCCTTGGCCTTCCTTTTTTTTTTAATTTCCCTGAGACAGGGTCTCACTATGTGGTTCAGGCTGGCCCTGAGTTCACTATGTAGCCCGGGCTGGCCTCGAACTCACAGTGATCCTCCTGCCTCAGCCTCCTGTGTGCTGGGGTTGTAAATGTCCACTCCCACACCCTGCAGCCTTCCTATTTTAAGTCAAATCTTAAAAAGTTCTACTCAGAGGCCATAATGTAGCTCAGTGCTGGGACACATACCTAACATATGGGAGGCCCTTGGTTCAATCCCCAGTACTTCAAAAAATTATTCAAATTACAGTGAGCCCTAATTTTATGTCATTTTATATAGTGTTACATTCATTCTTACCTTCTGCTGACAGATACCATATATTAACTGCTGGACTAGCTTTGTTTTGTTTTGTCTTAACCTGTCTACATTTTTTCTTTTTTTTTTTTTTTTTACTTTTTTTCTTATCAACATACATCATCTCATATACAGTAAAACTTGATCACTTCTAATTAGATTAGTGGAATTGAGTTTTTATTCTTGATGCTTGAGTTTAAGTACTAGTAAATGCTAAACATCCAATTTTTATACATACTGAATCAAATTCACTGGCTAGTTTCAGTGATGGCCTTATAGGGAAATTTGATTTGGTTCTCATCCAACTCATTTTGTAACCAGAATCATGGAAAGAATTAAGTTCATGAACCAAGGCACCACTGTATCAAATATAGTAGAGCTTATTCTTTTGAATTTGAAAATGAAGTAGCCAAGCGTGGTGGCATGTGCCTGTAATCCCAGCAATTGGGAGGCTGAGGCAGGAGGATCACCTTGAGTTTGAGGCCAGCTTGTACTAAATAGCAAGACACTGTCTCAAAAAAAAAAAAGAAGTACAACTTTCTGGCAGAAAACAAATCTACCTGGGCTGATTTGAGAGTGAGAACTAACTAACAATTGAGTTGTGGTGGGTGTGTTCACCAAAGAGTACAGACTATCTATAGCCATAATGGAGCAATTAGACCCACAGCTAATATATCATTAAAAATGGATTTTGGTAGTCAAATAATACGCAACTTTTGGCATGTAACTTGTGAGGAGCTCAGGGCCAGGGCTACGGCTCAGCAGCAGAAGCACTTGCCTGAAGCCTGAGGTCATGAGTTCAATTACCGGTACCAAAAAAAAAGACAAAACTGTGAGGAGCTGGAAGATTCAAGAGGAGACAGGACTGTAAGAGTCCCATGGCTTAGGAAACGTTAGCCAGCCGCTGTGGAATAGAGAAGCAGCCCCTCGGAGATGAAGTAGAGGGGCTGGAGTTAGTGCTGACTCCCGCTGCTCCTACGGGACCCGGGTCTAGCATGGGACATGCAAGTTCCATGCCATGTATACATCTTAGCTGCAGGGCGTGAAGAAAAATGAAGGCCGTACACTTTCCAGCTGCTGAAAGGAGTGCTTGCTCATTTCCTTGTTCTGTTTTGAGGGGGCCGTGTGTTGCCCAGGCAGGCTCGGGTGGCCCTCCCGCCTCAGCTTCCTGAGCAGCTGCGGCCGTGCATGCTTGCCAGCTACACCCTCTATTGATGGCTCCGAATGGGTTGGAGGCATTTCCAGACATTAGTATTTTAAAAATGCTAAAATATGTACTCTTTGTAAATACTTATGTATACAGTCAAAAGGTCTGTGTATGGACAAAAAATGTGGACGGCCATTGGTGCACGTGTGCATACTTTCTGGGCCAAGGGCTCTGTAGCTCTTGCCCAATTCAGAAAAGTGACATGTGAGCAGAAAAACAAGCCCGGGCTGAGGGCAGCCCGGCCCAGGGCCTGTGTCCTGGCTCAGCGCCTCTTGTCCCCCCACCCCAGCAGGACGGTATGCGGAAGGTCCTCTGTGTCACCTGCCCAGAGCCCTGAGCGCTTGGGGCAGAGCTCTTACTTCCAAACCACCGTCCTGGCTGTCCCCATGCAACCCTTGTGTCCCTTCTCTTCCAGTTTGAAGGCAGGAAGTACTGCGAACACGACTTCCAGATGCTCTTTGCTCCTTGCTGCCACCAGTGCGGTGAGTTTAACTGCCGGATATTAAAAGCAGGTTCCGAATTGCCCAAGCTGTGTCTGATACCATGCCGACGGGGTGACTGGGTTTTGGCACTCATAATATAAATATCATGAGAAGTACTTCATCTGCCCTACTTTTAATATACAGCAACTGGAAAGTGTCTAATCCTGGAAAGAAGTGATCTTTATGGACAGCAGAGCAGGTGTTTCTCAGGACTGGCTGGCGCTGTCCCGTCAGGGAGGCGCTCTGTGTGGACGATGCCCACAGGTGTCGCCTCACTGGTTGCCAGCAGTCTGCCAGATGGTTGTTAGGGACTGGTGAACCTGAGCAGAATGCATAAAGGGTTAATGAAGGAGGAAGTTAACTATGGATTATAAGAAAATGTGCTGTAGGGACATCGGTGAGCTCAGTGGGTGGTACATGTGCTTACCAGGCCCTGGGGTCAGTCCCCAGCACCCAAACGAATAAAACCAAAGGAAGACGATGAAGAAAAGAAAATATGCTGTGAATTTCAGTTGTTTGTCAGTGATGTCCAAAAATAATCCAAAAGACATCAGGAGAGCCCAGGACATTGAAAAGAAAGCCAGATTCAAACATGAGAAAAACAGCCCAAAAATGCTGTTCCAAGGACTCCCATGAAATAAAGGCCATGTTTTCTCTGCGCTTACTCTGGAAGATATCATTTGGAAGTTTCCCCGCATGGGAAAAGGTGTGAGCGCGGGGAGCTGCCGCCTGGACCTGCTTTGTTTCTTTCCCACAGGTGAATTCATCATCGGCCGTGTCATCAAGGCCATGAACAACAGCTGGCACCCCGAGTGCTTCTGCTGTGACCTCTGCCAGGAGGTGCTGGCGGACATTGGCTTCGTGAAGAACGCCGGCAGGTGGGAGTGAGGCATGCGCCTCCCGGGGGCCTGGGTGGCTGAGGCGCAGTCTCAAGGCCACCTGTGTTGTCCCTGTGGGTGAGGGAGCCCAGTGCCCTAGGGCTCGTCCCTGGCCCCCCGTGGCCTCGGGGGCACCTGTGTAGAGAGGGGATGGTGGGGAACATCCGTCTGAAGCTTGGTTCCGCTGTGAATCTCAGGAGAGAGCTTTGTAAGACATGGTTTCTTTATCTTTAGAGATAGGAGAAGCATGTTTCTTTCTAATGACTGGAAAGAACTTCAGACTGAGTTTCCATTTTGCCCCGCTTAGACATTTGTGTCGCCCCTGCCACAATCGAGAGAAGGCCCGAGGCCTGGGGAAGTACATCTGCCAGAAGTGCCACGCCATCATCGACGAGCAGCCCCTGGTCTTCAAGAACGACCCGTACCATCCCGACCACTTCAACTGTGCCAACTGCGGGTACACGTGCACTCCCTGTCTCTGCACAGCGTGGGGCTTCCGCTGCTGCCGAGGAGCAAGTCCTCTCTGCGGCACTCGGGGTGGGGCCCACAGCCTGTGGGTCGGGAGGGGACGGGGTGCGCAGCTGTGTCCCAGCCAGGCGCCGCCCGCCCACCGTGCCTGGACAGCCGTGCCCAGCGCTGTGCACTCCCCTCGCCCTGAGAGTGTGTGTGCACGAGAACGCGCGCACGTGCGTGTGCTCAGTACTTGCACTAGCTCACATGTTTCCCACAGAACAGTTGGAAAGTAAGCTGTAGACATTGTGACTCTGTGTGCATCTCCTGAGCGTGAAGTCATTTCCCGCAGAACAACAGTACTCCTCTCAGCCCTCAGAGTACTGTGACTTTACATCAGACAGGAAGTCCGTGCTGAAACAGCCCCGGTTTGCCCTGTAACTATTTCATGACCTTTTCCAACATAGGATCCAAGAGAAAGTTATTTACAAATACAATTTTTACAGTTGTTATACTTAGGGTGTTATGTTAAATTATCCTTCACTTGATTACATTGTTAATTCTTTTGGTCTTCAAAAAGTCTGACTTCTTAGGCTGTTGTGAGTTTCATGGGGTTTTTGTTTTTTGTTTTGAGTGAGTCTCCCAATACAGCCCAGGCTGGCCTCAGACTCCTGGGCTCAAGTCATCCTCCTGCCTCAGACTCTGGGTAGCTAAAGCCACAGGTCTGTGTTGCCACCCTGGTGTCTTGTATAAAAATGTAACAGAAAAACATTCCTTACTGTACTTATGGGAGCATGCGTGCTGAACTACAGTACCGAGGAAGGAGAGACAGCAGGTAAAGGGTTAGGAAAAGTTTTACAATGTAAGTTCAGCTAACTCATCTTTAAATTAATTAGCACTTTATGCTTTTTTTTCAGTGAGGGTCTCACTGCATGGTTCAGGGTGCCCTTGAACTCACTGTGTAGCCTAGGCTGGCCTCAAATGTCGGGTGATCCTTCTGCCTCAGCCTCCTGAGTGCTGGGATTACAGGCATGTGCCACCATACCTGACTCACTGAGCGCATTTTTTTCTGTCTTTCCTCTTGTAAGGTTTTTCTCTTCCACTTTCGTTAGCATCACGCCTAAAAGGTTATTTAAACCAAGTGAAATCCACACAAGTCCATCTGGCCAGTTGATGCCATCTCTAGCTAAGTGTTTATTTTATTTGTTTTGGTTTTGGGTTTTTTTCTGATCCTGGGAATTCAACTCATGACCTTGCGCTTGCCAGGCAGGCGCTGTGCCACTGAGCTAAATCCCCAGCCCCCTCTAGCTAAATGTTTAGTGGCACAACATAATAGCTGACCTAAGAGGGGGCACTCTGGGCATTTCATTGTTTATTTTCTGTTAACCTCATTGTATAGTGAGCGAGGCTCCTAACAGCCTGTGATTTCAGTGGTTTTAGGGAAGCAGGCTCCCACTCCTCGGGCGGGAGGGGCAGCACTGAGGCTGCCCTCTGCACTGGGCCTTCTGAGGGGGGCCGTGGGCCAGGAGGGGTGGTGAGCCGAGCAGGGCGCCGGCTGCATGGTGTGACGCATGTGCCTGGCCTCTTCCTGTGCTGTGCCGTTGGCCTGAGGGCAGCTGCAGACCCCTCAGGCCTGTGCTTTGTGACTCTGGCCACCTCTAGAGCAGGCAGAGGAAGTCACACCTGGTCCAGTGGCCTCTTCAGGCCTGCGAGTGCACTGGCCGCCACTCCTGGCAGCGGTGCTCAGCGGCCTCCTCCTGTGCAGGAAGGAGCTGACTGCTGACGCCCGGGAGCTGAAGGGGGAGCTCTACTGCCTTCCATGCCATGACAAGATGGGAGTGCCCATCTGTGGGGCCTGCCGGCGGCCCATCGAGGGGCGCGTGGTGAATGCCATGGGCAAGCAGTGGCACGTGGAGGTGAGTGCGAGGGCGCGAGGTGGCCAGCAAGGCGGGTCCTGCGGGGCGGATGTGGGCACGTGAGTGTGGCCGGTGTTGCACGTGTGAAGAATCCAGACGCGCACTGCCGCTTGGTTCGTCAGGGAGGACACGATGTGTACTTCGTTCCTCAGGCTCCCCCCGCAGGGAGTGCCGCGGTCCAGGCGGAGCGGGCCCGTGGCAGATGCTCCTCGGGTGCCCGGCTCCGCTCTCAGCAGTGTTGTTGGAAGGACCACATCCTGACACAGCCCAGCAAAGACTCGGGTGTCCTCTCTGCAGAGAGAGCAGCAGGGGTTACTTCAATAGGTCGATAAAATATGACCGTTAATAAGTGACTTACCCATTTTTTTCCCAGCATTTTGTTTGTGCCAAGTGCGAGAAGCCGTTCCTTGGACATCGCCATTACGAGAGGAAGGGCCTGGCGTACTGTGAGACTCACTACAACCAGGTATTGACGCCAGGGCTCCGTTTGTGGGTTTAAGTTCGGCAGCGCTGTAGCTCCAAGGCATCGTTGGAGAATGTCCACTGGGCTACAGAGATTTGTTTTCAACCTTTTTTTGAGAAATAATTTCAGACTCAGAAAAGTTGTGAAGTGAAAATACAAAGCATCCCCATGTACCTCCTACTCACACTCACCGTTTCCCACGTCATCTGCATGTGTTGGGTCACGCTGTGCAGATCACCCCCTTACAAAACACAGACTTCTGCCGGGCGTGGTGGCGCACACCTGTAATCCCAGCACTCAGGAGGCTGAGGCAGGAGGATCGTTGCGAGTTTGAAACCAGTCTGGGCTACAAAGTGAGCTCAAGGCCAGCCTGAGCTGCATAGCGAGGCCCTGTCTCAAAAAGACAAGCAATAAAACAAAAATACAAAACACAGACTTCTTAATTGCCAATACTTGATTGCATAGATGCAAAACACACATTTTTCTTCCTAATAAGTATTTGACAGTAAGTTCAGCGCGGTCCTTCACCCCTAAACCTTGAATGTCTGTTTCTGAAGGATGCGAACTCTTACACTACCATCGGCATTACTGCTGTCACAGTACTTCAATCCATTTATTTAGTTCTGTCACTTGACCAAATACTGTCCGCATAGCAGTTCTTCCTACTGAAAGCCTGGATCCAGCCCCAGCTGTCAGGTTCCTTCAGCCCCTGAGAGCTGGAGCATTTCCAGGGCGTGGACAGACGGCTCCTCACTTGACTCACCGGCCACATCCCCACGGCCAAGTTGGGGTGGTGGTGAGCGGCTGGAACCCTTGCAGCGCCTCTCCTCAGAGCACCTTTGCCCAGCGCTGGCCCAGTGACACCAGCTGACGTCAGCCCTGGAAGTCGCAGTTGCCCTGCATCTGATAGGCAGGTGGTGGGCAGCGACCTGCCCCTCGGCCCAGCGCTTGCCCGCTCTGGCTGAAGGCAGCGCCTTGCCTGGTCATTCGAAGTACCAGGAAGTGAATCACCTCCATTCTAAGGAAGCCAGTCAGCGGCCTCACACTCGTTTTCTCTAGGCACGGTGTGGTGGGCTTCCGAGTGCTGGATGTTCAGGGGAATTCCAGCACACCCTGACCTCCTGCAATGCTCTTTCTTTTCAGCTGTTCGGAGACGTTTGTTTCCACTGCAACCGTGTCATAGAAGGCGACGGTGAGCGTCTGCGGCCCTCGAGCACCGTCTCCACGCAGATGCCCACGGCTGCGTGAACGAGGAGGGAGGCTCTTGCTGCTGCTGGGGGGATGAGAGCGTTATCAGCTCCCTTTTTTTTTCTGGTCCATTCCCCAGTAAGGGACAGCAGGAGAGGTGGTTACCCCGGAGCTGGGTGTGTGACACTGAGGCGAGTGCCCTATGCTCTGGAAGCTGTGGTGGAGGAGAGCGCGACCCGCGGGAACACCGCGTAGCCTCAGGCAGGGCCCGCTCCTGGCGGGAGGGAAGCAGCTGTGTTCGCAGAGTCGCTCCCAGGTCTGCCCGGACATCCTGGCGACCTGAGCAGTCTTCTTTAGGCCCACCTGCTGGTTCTGGGCAGACTGCACGGGCAAAGGAAGGAGACCAGGGCAGGGCCGTGGGAATTACCCTCAGCCCGTACGAGGGAGCCGGCTGCCAGGTGGAGGAAGCGCTTCTGCTGTCAGCGTCGGCAGAGAGACTCCTGTAGGCGAGACGCTCCCGTCTGAATTTTTAAACAGTTTCTCCTGGGCCGGTGCTGGTGAGCCTGTGGCCTGCGTGCCGCGGCAGGCTCTGTCACTGTCCTAGGCCGTCTCTCTGTGATGGGCCCGCAGTAGGGGGGACAGCAGCGGCTGCCAGGTCGCTGGGCGGATGTGAGTGCCCCGGCCGCCTTGTCCGCGGGCCTGGCAGGCACAGTCTTTGTGGCACAGGGCCCTAAACAGAGGGGAAGTTAGCTTGCAGGAGCGAAGGGGGCAGCGGTGCTCTTCCTGCAGGGAGACCTCAGTGCTTGCTCTCCATGCTTTTGTGGAGAATGTGGAAACTGTGGTCTCGGTGGGTCGGATCTGAGCACTTTACTTAGTGGCACTGAGCTCATCTTCGAGAGAGATTGTCAAGCCCTTCCCCGGGTGCCCTGGGAGCAGCCCTGCCCCGGGCACCACACATCCCTGACCAGTCTCTCCCCCCGCAGTGGTCTCTGCCCTGAACAAGGCCTGGTGCGTGAACTGCTTCTCCTGCTCCACCTGCCACACCAAGCTGACACTCAAGTGAGTCCGCCCTGCTGTCCTGAGGGTCCCTGGCTGAGGGCTGGGGGACCGGTTAGTCCTGAAATGTTTAAAACAGACCATTCGACCTGTTATTTCTTCTGCCTCGTTGAGGTCTTCTGATGTAAAGGTTCTTCCTTTAATTGTCGCCTGTTCTTCTGTTCCTTCTTTGTGCTGCTCAAAGGGATAAGTTTGTTGAAATCGATCTAAAACCAGTCTGCAAACACTGTTATGAGAAAATGCCAGAAGAATTTAAGAGGCGACTGGCCAAACGGGAGAGAGAAGCGAAGGATAAGGACAAGCAGAAAAAGAAAAAGCCAGTCTGTCTGTAAACTTCCCTGTCCCTCTGTCACCATTTCCACCACCTTCTTCTTTGGTCAGTCTTTGCAGAGTTTGTCTTTGCCCTGTCTTTTGCTTTTGTCTGTTTTCCTCCTCGCACACCTCTGTGGCCATCAGAGGCTGGAGTGCGGCATGCGCTCCTCCGCGCGGCCCCTCCGCTGCGTCACGGGGGGCGGGGGGGGAGGTAGCGGGGCCCGCACTGAAGTTCCGAGATCCTGGTCTGCGGTTTGTTTGCCTAAAATCCCTTAGTTTCTGGATGTTTGACATGTTTTGAACTGATGTGTTCCCAGTTCTCAGCGCCTTTCACGTCCAAGCAAATCTGGTCTCCCTGGAGAGACACCCACTGCCTAGGTGTCCCCCGTGCCTCCCAGGGCAGGCGCACTTCCTGTTCCTGAGAATCTTCAGGCCCTTCCATCCTGCTTGGGGGAAGTGCTTCAGTCCTTGGCGTTCTGTTTCATTACTGCCACAACTGTTTCATTCTATTGCTCGTGGTGTCACTGTGTCTGAGCTCTAAATGCTTTTATTATTTCTGCTTTCACGTTTCCTGAATTTACAATGTTGGAATACTTGCTAAACAGTCTCTAAAAGCAAGAAAAACTCACTTAAAATCTGACAAGATAGCAGTTTCTGTAATTTGTTGTAAGAAAACTTTGTTTTGTTTTTTGGGTTTTTTGGTTTGGTTTTTTTTTGTTTTGTTTTGTTTTGTTTGTTTTTTTTTTTGCGGTACCAGGGATCGAACTCAGGACCTTGCACTTGCCAGGCAGGCGCTTGTGCCCCTGAGCGATATCCCCAGCCCTGTAAGAAGACTTTGGGAGGAATTGTAAATTTAGTCTTGCTATTTAAATAATCAGACTAGGGGCTGGGGATTTAGCTCAGTGGCAAAGTGCCTGCCTGGCAAGCGCAAGGTCATGAGTTTGGTTCCCGGTACTGGAGAAAAACAAAAAACAAAACAAAAAAAAAATCAGACTGCCCTAGGAAACATTTGATTTCCCAGCTAGACTGCAATTTTTTTTTTTTTTTTTTTTGGTACTGGGAATCAAACTCAGGACTTTACGCTTGCCAGGCATGCGCTTGTACACCTAGCTATATCCCTGGCCCTGAACTGCAACATTTGAGGGACTATTAGTGTCAGTTTTTCCGTGAAAAACAACTGGAGAATAATTCCAAGTAGGGTATTCTAAAAGTAGGAAAATTTTTTCTTTTTAGTCTTTTTGAGACAAGATTTCACTATGCAGTTCAGGCTGGCCTTGAACTTATTTTGTAGCCCAGGATACCCTTGAACTCACAGTGATCCTCCTGCCTCAGCTTCCCACTGCTAGGATTACAGACATGTGCCACCACACCTGGCCTAATATTGCTCTTTAAAATTACCTCAAAGCAAATAGTATAGTATACTTTAAAGTGAGTAAAGAGGAGCTCGGCACACACCTACAATCTCAGCACTCAAGAGGCTGAGGCAGGACGATTACTGAGAATTTGAGGCTAGCCTGGGCTACATAATGAATTCAAGCTAACCTGAACTACAAAAGTAAGACCCTGTCTCAAAAAGTTCTGTATTTCCTCAACTCAAAGTTAAAGAACCTGGATTCCAGTGGTAGTGAGCACTGGAAATGCATTTCTGTGGTCAGGAGACCATGTGAAAGTTGTCTCCTCTGTAATCCCAGCACTTGGGAGCCTGAGGCAGGAGGATCACCATGAGTTCAAGGCCAACCTGGGCTACATAACGAGGCCCTGTGTCCAAAAAAAGTTGTCCTGTCCAGGACTGTTTACAAAGAAATTCATAATGTGTATTGCCAGAAGGTTTTTTTAATTATTATTTTTATTTTTTTGTCTTTTTTTTTTTTTTTTTGAGACAGGGTCTCACTATGCAGTTCAGGCTGGCCTTGAGCTCACTTTGTAGTCCAGGCTGGTCTTGAATTCACAAGGATCCTCCTGCCTCAGCCTCCTGAGTGCTGGGATTACAGGCGTGTGCCACCACGCCCAGCTTATTTTTTTGTCTTTTGAGACAAGGTCTCATTATTCAGTTTAGGCTGGCCTTGAGCTCACTTTGTAGCTTAGGCTGGCCTCTAACTAGCAATGATACCCCTGCCTCACCCTCCCCAGCCTCCTGAGTGCTGGGATTACAGGCATGCGCCACCGCCCAGCTTGCCTGGGGTTTTAAAAGAAGAGTGAAGTTCTGTGTGCAGCTACCAGCTGTACAGTACCTGTCTGTCCCTTACCACGCTCTGTGTCAAGCAATCAGAATAGCCTACTTATGATTTAAGGTAATTTTTTAAAAGACTTAATGTGGGCTGGGGGTGTGGCTTAGTGGTAGAGCACTTTCCTGGTGTGCCAGGCCTGAGTTGTCCCCAACACCACGAGGGGCAAGGGATGTCTGACACGTTCCTTTGGCACATGCATCACTGGCTGTGCCACCCGATGGGACAGACAGTCACGCGTGGACCAGCAGTGGGTCAGAGCTGCCAGGTAGCAAGAAAAGAAGCCCAGGGTGGTGGCAGATGCCTGTACTCCCAGCACTCAGGAGGCTGAGGCAGGAGGATAGCGGAGAGTTGGAGGCCAGCCTGAGCTGCACAGTGAGGTCAAGGCCAGCCTGACTACATAGTGAAATCCTGTCACCAAAAAAAGA